TCGTAGTCGCGATATGACAATTGCAGTCGAGTGTTGAGTGTTGCAGGCCATGGAGTTTATTTCAATTCCAGATTCGGAGGCCAGCAGCTTAGACCAGGTAGCCAGGGTGAAGAAGCTATGATATCTTTTCGGCGGATCGGGGTTGAACGTCCGCCACCCCCTGACACCAATGCCACCCTCAATGTTTACGCATAAGGGTGCGGAGTTGCCTCCCTGTCTGGAGTGTGTTCTAGCATGCCTCGCTGAGGCATCTCAACGAGGGTCGAGTGGTCTCTGAGCGTTGAAGCAACGCCATGAAGAAGCATGCTGTCCCAGGTGGTAGGCATCCTGCCCTCCGACGTCAACTATGACCCAGAAGGTTCAAGAGGGTACTGTCACAGATGGTTACCACAACTGCGGTTGTTGTTGTCCCTGGCACTGCCACTACCACTAATATTACTACACCTGCTGTTTGATGTCGCCGCAGCAATGCTTCTACTAATGCTGGCTACCGCCCCTGCCGCTGCATGCCACCGCTGCCGCAACTGCTGCTGCGACCACTGTCTACTGCTGCTACTGCTGCTGCGGCTACTTTGTTGCTGCTACTAAGATTCAGTTTCTGGACTTGTAGCTGCCAGCTACGAGGGCGCTCCAGGTGGGCGCCGTAGCACTGGGCACATGGCAAGTTGGGAAAGGTCAGCAACTTCAGCAGCATCATCATGCTTTCCTACATGACCTAGATCGGGCGAGATCCTGCCTGCAAAAACGTGGTTAAGAGATTCACAGTTGTTAACGCAGGCATGAGAAGCCCATTCTGGTCGCGCAGACCTGTCGGATGGCATCAGACCATCGTTCCTTCGGATATCCGCGTCTGCGCCGTGCCCCACATCCTGGATCTTGTTGGGGGTCCCACCGTATAGTCTGTGTAGACCATTCCTGGTCGTCTACATTGCACACTTGGCATTCTCATGCCCCTATTCGTTGACATTGGATCGACACCCAGTATGCGATCAGCATTCGTCCGTGCGTTCCTTCTGGAGCGATTCTGGCTTAAGCTATTTAGCTTCATGCCTCGAGGCCGTCGTTTTGAGCTTGCGGTTCCGGGCTGGTAGATATGATGTATTAGTTTGTTGTTGGCTGGAGGTGTGCGACATCATGCGATGTATTTGGCGCTGTGTCCGACGGAGTCGATTTGGAAGATCTTTGCCATAGCTCATGCCCCACACCCATACGAAGCAGTTGGACAGATCGATCGGAAGAAATATAACATTATATATCTATATGTTTAGAGAGAGATAGAAATTGAAATAGACACAGAGAGAGGGAGAACAAACAAAAATGACGATTGACACATTAATCGTGCTTACTTGACAACTCCTTGCCGCAGTGGATTTAATGCGGTTCAACAAGCTTGCGCTTCAGTGCAACAGTGCGTTTGTGTTGGTATCACTTCTTCTACCACTGCGGCTATGGAGTGGTCTGGCTGGTTCCCTGTGAAGAGGAAGAGAGCGACAGAACCTAGGCAGAGAAAAGCAGGAGGAGCAGTAGAGAGGGGAGACAAACGATCGGGGAGTAGGAATAAGCTGACGGAAGCGGGAACTGGCGGGAGGAAGCGTTGAGAAGTAGAAGGCAGTCGTGCGGTGCGAGAGAGATGGGTAGGGAGCGCAATCGTTGGCGAATACCAGCTTGTCCATCGTTGGTAGAGTGTGTGGGTATTGCTTCCCAAAGGCAGCTGTGCTCTTTGCGCATCCGCCCGTACCGCCGCAGCGAAGGAAAAAGCAGGCAGGGCAGTGTCTTGGGCGTGGTGCTGCCACGGCCCGGACCCACGCCTGGGTGTATTGCGAGGGTCTTGCAGCCAGCGCCGCCGACCTTGACGGGGGACGACGACGACCACGACCACGACCACGACGACCACGACCACCACGACCACCACGACGACGACGACGACTGCGGCGGCGGCGGCAGCGGCGACGACGATGATGGCCTAGGCCCTTGTCTTTTGCGTCTTCAGAAAGCGTTGGCCGAAATATCTGCTAGTTGAAGCCAATCGAAGCCACAAAGCGGATGTGGAAGGTTCGCGTCGTGCCGACCTGCGGCGACCCCGCCGCCGGCGTTCAACGCTGGGCACCGCCAGCGATGCAGAATCGGTCGATGCTGAACGATCCGACGTTTCGGAAGCAGCCGACCGTGCAGGGTTGAAAGAACTCAGCGGTGGCAGATAACTCGGCACGGCGCGAACCTGCCGTGCCGTTATCGGCGTTCTGGGGGAACGCGCCGAGTTTGGCCAGATCCGGGGCCCCGGAGGGGCCCTTGCGAACAGCGCCGACGTCGAGACCTCAAAGTCGGGAACTCTGGCTTGGCGTGTCGCTCTGCCGGTGCTGGCCCACCACGCTGCGGCGCGGCACGCTATCCACTTCCCGGCCCCCCAGCGTCAACGTTCCGAGCCTTTCCGAGCCTCCCGCCCCGCGGAGCGAAGCGACACGCCATCCGCTCGCAGGGCACCCGCGCAGCAGGATGGCGGTGCCGTGCCTGCTCTGGGAGCGCGGCTCGTCTCCCCAAGGTGACGACGGCGGAGGGTGGCCGAGGCCACGACTACCGTGTGGTGGACCCGGACATCGACGACAAAGGCCGGGCACCACCCGGCAACGGGCCTCGGCGAACGCCTTGCCGGCCTGGAGAGTCAAGCAGTGGCGAAGCGCCCCGAGTTGCCCACAGGCCCGGCCCACCAAAGAGTTTTCTAAGGACACTTCGCGGTTTGCACGAGACGTTCTTAGATCATGTCTGCCTGAGGCAGTCTCGATTTTATCCAAAGCCTTCATGTTATAAGGACACGGCTTTTGTGGTTAAGCTTGCATGTTGTCCTAAGAACATGTTGTTACAGGCCTCTAGGAATGCCAGGACGGCGGGTCCCTGCTCAATAGAGGGCGGAGCCCAGAGCAACGGGGGCGAAAGCGTCTCCGCCCCGCTCGATCGCCCCCCCCCCATTCCTGGATGAATCACCGCTCGCGTTGCGAGAAATCACGACGACATGTTTTTGGCTAGTTCTCATGTGAGTGCCCTCCCTCCATCCCTCCCTCCCCCTTGCCCAGACAGCCTGAGCGCGCGTGCACACTGCCTCTGCCGCGCTGCGGCATGAAACAGTTTTGGCTAGTTTCGGCCCCTGGGGGCCTTCGCCAGGCCCCGGGGCCGTCAAGAAACGACTCGGGGTGAAGAAAAGGTCGCGGGGAATCACTCCATCATGGGTCCAGTTTTTCATCCCGAGTGGGGTCGAGATCTCTGGGAATCGAGACCTCTAGGGGTCGACTTTGTGAAAAAATCATGTCGCCCCACCCTGATGTTCACTCCCCCCTTATCCGATCCTCCACATGTATCGGATCTCCTCCTCTCCAACTGTGTTCCCCGCCCACATCAGCCCTCGGACACCCCCCCCCTTTCCACCTCTTGCCGCCTCTTCCGACTTTTCTGTTTCACCCCCCCCCTCCCGCAGTGTGATCATGCTACCAGCTACTTGTGGCTAATGGCGACGTCCTTCAGCTGCGGCAATCACACGCGCATGTTGTGCAGCGCGCGAGCGAGTCAGCCAAAGGTCACCCCTAAGAGGGTCAGGAAAACCATCCAGCTGCATACCCACCCTTCCTACCCAGACTAATTACGTGTATGCACCGATCACGACAAGTTCTTCGGAATGCTAGTCGAATAACGTGGACAATTCGGACCAGTGCCAATTCAAAGGACTTGCTGTTGAATTCGAGTTTCATCCGTTTCACCACAGCCCCCTGCAGACGAGAAGGAGTGGGGGGGTCGATCAGGGCTTGAGGTCTGACAGGCCCGCCGACACGCGGATCCAGACGAGGTGGGGGCTGCCAACTGCGCAATTCTCGCCACTTTCGTGAGCTTCTGGGAGGGTCAGCAGAGCGACGCGACACGGGCGTCCAGGCAAGACCTCGCGGCTCCCTAGGGAACTGCCGACAGCGCAGTGCTCCTTTTCATGTTTCGCGCTGATGATCTGCCTTTACGATTACGCATGCCATCCAGCATTATTTGATGTTTTGTGGATCCGTTCCGTGATTGGGTACGTCCCTGGATGATTCTGCCTCCTCAACATCATCATCACCATCATCACCATCATCACCATCATCATCATCATCATCATCATCATCAGTGTCTTCCTTCTCCTGCCAGGATGCACATGGGGGAGCCGTCAGAGGGTATGCACATGCCCATTCGCACCCAGCTTGTCTGGATCTCTCAAGCATGCTGGTCGTTTCGGGGATGGGGCAGTGCTTCTGTTCACGTGACCATGGTCCCCGAGGTGCGGGAGGCACCGCGTTCGGGCCGCGAGGGCAAGTGTAAGACAAAGATTTGCGTGTGTGGAGTCCTCCGCACCAACACCATTTCTGTTGTCTCCTCCTCCTCCTCCTCCTCCTCCTCCTCCTCCTCCCTCCTCTTGCTCATGGCCATGCTCAGGAGAGGAAGAAACACACAGACACAATTAATCGCCGCGCCTCAATAAAATATAAAGAAATGGGAAGTGGGGGGGAAGACGAAAACCCAGGAAATACTAGAAAATATTGGGATTCCTGGGATTTGTGTGTGTTTTTATTTGTGTGTCCCTGGAGGCAGAGGACCGTAGCTTGACATGCCGGCCAGCGAGCGTGCACTGGCAGGCGGCCTGCTGCTCATCGTCACTTGGATCCCCACGTCGGAGCGCGAGTGGATCCAGATCCTCGGCCGGACAGGCCGCCAGGTTCCGCGCCGCAGCCAGACACCGCCGCTGGCGCCGCCGCTGCGGCTACCGAGTCCATCTCGTTGTCCCCTTAGATGATGGCGATGTCGATGACGATGACGATCGTCATCATCGTCATCGTCCTCGTCGTCATCCTCATCGTCATCGCCATCATCACCCTCTCCCCAGCCTCTTCCTTGACAGGTTACGGCGCCCCCCTCTCTGCCTCTTCCTTTTCACCTCCGTATCGGGCCGTTCGGTAGAGATCTCGCGGCAGAGGCCCATGTCAGCGGCTGGCGCTTCAAGGTGTCTTCGACATCGATGCACTAATTCCTCGGTGGTCTTGCTGTGCAGAGAGCTGCGCCCTGGAGCCCCAATCGGCGAAACGGCAATCCATGTGTTACCTTGCTCCCCTCATCCCTCTGCGAGCCTCCATTTCGTGCAGTGCGGTAAGATTCGTCCGCGTTGTCCCTTGGCCGTAGCTGTGGCCATCGGGGCCGACCTGGCCTGATCGGGCTAACGGTTCAGTCCAGTCACACGGTCGCCGGGGCCCCCTAAACCAGGACACGATGAACCATATTTCTGAACATCCCACCTGGAGAGAACGAAGAATGGAGCCCGTCTCGACCCACGGCTGCAGCTTTCTCGGGCGCGCGGTTGCTTGCTGGTTTACCACAGAGTCCCCGCTCAGGTGGCCGTGAAGCCGGCCGGCGGTCGGCGTGCTCGCCGCGCATGCTGGTGGGCGAGCCTGGCCTCGTGGCCCCAATGGGCAGAAGCCAGCGTGCCGTCAGGGTGGCTCGTTCGATGCCACGGAGCGGCTGCGATTGGGGGGCTGCGAGAAGAAACAAAAGAGACAACAATCAGGCATACTTACATGCATGCACACATACATGCGTCAATGCATACATGCATACATACATTGTACTTATGCATATACACTTACACAAACTTGTACACATGCACATACACACATACATATACACATGCACATGCATATGTACATACATACATACATACATACATACATACATACATACATGCATGCATTCATACATGCATACATGCATACATGCATGTAGGTTGACATACATGTATACATAAGCATGTGCAGGCATACATATTTACATGCATACATGCATGCATGCATACATGCGTATATGCATGCACATATGCATGCATATATACTTACATGAATGCAGACATACGTGCATACATATACGAACACCTATACACATACATGCATACATACATACATGCATGCAGACATACATACATACATACGTACGTAAGTACGTACGTACGTACGTACGTAATACATATATACATGCATACGAACCAACATGCATGTATGCATGCAGCCATCCATACATGCATACATATATATATATATGTGTGTACATATACATATATATATGTATATATATACATATGTGTGCGTCCACACATACACACATACATGCATGCATGCATACACATATGCTCAGATGTATGTATACATATATACAGGCCAGGGCTGCAGGCCTGCGGGCATCGGGGGCCCAGGACCCAGGGGCTCTCGCCTCTCGCCGTTGCGGCGCTGCCTCGTGCGCTGTGGGCTCCCGAAGCCATCGAGTCGTGACGTGGTCCTCCAGGGACCGACAGGTCGGCGGCCTCTACCTCCTCGTCCGCCTCCTCCTGCTCCTCCTGCTCGTGTCTGGCTCCGTTTCCTCGTCCCCCTCCTCGTCGTCAACGTTGCGTCGTCGTCCTCCCCCTCTTCCTCCTCCTCCTCCTCCTCCTCCTCCTCCTCCTCCTCCTCCTCCTCCTCCTCGATCAACGCTTCACGGCACTGCCCGACGCGGCCTGGGATCCCCAAGCCACCGGGCCTGCTGCACGAAGAGCGACCCTTTGCCTGAGTGACCTTGGGGGCGGGCTCCTCGGGGCCACCGACCACAGGCTTGCGCGCTTTGATTCGGCCCCCGCGCCGCCCCCGAAAGCCACGCACCAAAGGTCACTCCTCGCCTCGGGGTCACTCCTACGTGTAGCCGATCGAGCCCCGACGTGGTCCTCCAGAGACTGAGAGATCGGCGGCGAAATCCGAACCCTACCCTCGCCGATCATCGCTTCGGGCAAGTCGATGGGCGGCTGGGGTAGGGTTCGGACTTTTTGGCGCACGTGGCGAAATCCGAACCCTGCCCCCGCCTCCCATCGATTCAAGTGAGTAGATGGTTGGTGGGGGTGCATCTGATCGCCCTGATCCTGTCACGACGCTGTGGGCCCGCGAGTCCCCGACGCTCCCTCTCGCCGGGCCCCCCAGGATCGCAACGGGCAGTACGCGGTCTTCATCTGCAACGAGGACGAGAGCGTGCTCGAGGCCGGTCGTCGGGCGGAGTGGTGTATGCTGGTGTATGCCTGTCTGCGCAGGCCCTCGCCAGAATGGTGGGTGTCCCAGCGACGAGGATCCCCTCCCTGGACCCAGACCCCCTCGGAGTGATGGAAAAATCACGACGGGCATTTTTTCAATATTTTCTGGCCTTTACTGGGCCTCGAGACCGCCAAAAACGAGTCAGGATGAAAGTCGGTCCTGGGGAATGGGCCGAGACTTTTGGGGGTCGATGTTATGAAGAAATCATGACGTCGGGGATCAGGGGATGTTGGCCAGCTTCGGTTACCGGCTGGAAGCTCGTATGTTAGGTTCGAGACGGCGTTGTTGAGTGCCAGAGGGCCCAGCTTCAGGACTGGGAGCTTGTGGCTGCTCTCGGGGTCGTATCAACCAGGCTGCGATTGTCAAGTGCCAAGGGCGGTCGTGGTTTTGTACCGCACGCCCCTGGGGCATCAATAACCGTCGACAGAGTAGACGAGCACCCTCTACGGTCAGCGAGGCGTTGTGGTAGTACCCATGACACTCACACTGCAAAGGGGAGGGGACGACGCTGGGGATCGTGTTTGCGATTACGGTGAGGATGATGATGCTGATTATGATTGTATCGATGATGGCGATGATGCGAGGGTGGCTGCTTGACCGTATGTCCCAATGTGAAACGTGTGTGTCAGGGGCAGATTGTCCCCAAGCGTCCGATAGCGCGACAGCGGCTTGTATATCGAGGGCCCCAGGCCTCGGGGCAAGCCACACCGCATGACACGCATGAGGCAGCACCAGCAGTCAAAAATGCACAGCAGCGTCGTCGGCCCGCCCAGCTGCCTGCAGCTTCCCGTCGGGATCACTGTCGTCGCCAGGGGAAGTCCGCGGCCTTCGGTGGTCCAGACGACGTGAGGCTTTCGCAGGCACCCACGTCATTTGCAGGACGGCCAGTGCTGCAGCCCAGCTTCGCACCGGGCCTAGCGTCATCGGCAGCCAGCCCCGTGTCATCAGTCACACGGACTTGGCGAGCGCACGACACAGCGGGCGGGCACCAGGTGCCCATGCCCTCTCGGCCGTACGTGGCCGTTTTCTTGCGGAAGCTGCGACACTTTGGATGCGTGCCCTTCTTTCCTCGAATCCCTTGCCGCACCTGCCTGCCATGACGCGCCCCCGTGCCAATTGTCCAGTTGCGCTGGCCGTGGGAATCGTGACTCCACCACGCTTGGCGGAGCCTGGGATGTCGGGAGGGGGCTGGGATGTCGGGAGGGGGTTGGGGGGGGGAGGCGGGAAGAGGGGCATGTGAGTGATGTCTCCTATCCTTTACCATTCTGTCGAATCGTCTCCCGAGTCTGAACGTAGCCCACAAAAGGCCGATCGGCGTATTACTGCCGCCGTTTCGAAGCTCTCCTGCAGCTCTAGCTGCTGCAATGGGCCTCGACCCTCCAGGGGGCAAAGGTTTTGACCGATGCGTCGAGGGCCTTTCATATTGGTCAGGAGCCCCGCACACACACATTCACACATACGTACATACCTACCTACCTACCTACCTACCTACCTACCTACCTACCTACCTACCTACCTACAGACAGACAGACAGACAGACAGACAGACAGACAGACAGACAGACAGACAGACAGACAGACAGACAGACAGACAGACACACTTGTTGGCGTCGCGGCCACATGTGCAACAACGCGGCGGAGTCAGGCAGGCTGTAAAGAATTGTGACATATCGGTTCGAGTTGACCAGTCCTCCCAACCCTTGCTGTGCTCCACCTTTAGCGCGACGCCGTCCATGTTTACTTGCAGCGCGACCTGGCTGCCGACCCACACTTTGCCCTCCTCAGGGTCGGCCCATAAGCTGGTGCTGGCGTAGCCCCACTCATACGGCATCCGCTCGGATCCAAAGACGAGCAGATTCACGATCCTCTCTGGCAATGTTTTGTCCGGTTTGGCCCAGACCGTGTTGCCACCCTCCTTGAAAGCCTTCTCCGGATCGTGTGCACTGCGTTATCCCTGCCCGCCTGGTCCCAGAACTTTGCGAAAATCAAGCCCCTGAGTTCGCCTTTGACGTCGACGTCCTTCGGCTGAGCCGCATAGGTCTCTCAGAGTTAATTCTTCAGCCAGTCCTGAGCCCCGACAGCGACTGTAGCCCCCCAATCACAGCCGTCAACTCTTTTGTGCCGTTGCTGTTCGCTCCACTGGTGGTGCTGTGGTGGTGTTGTGGATCAGGGCTTTTCATTTGAGCTGCCCGACCTGCACCTTCAAGGCCTTGATATGGTCCCATATCTCACTCTTGGCACTCAATGGTGATGTTGATGCGTGTATAGACTCAACCGTGTTCTCGAAGTTTGTCAGGCGTAGGTCGATGTCCTCAACGTGTTCTTCCATTTTGTCGAAGCTGGTGTCGCGGATCGGTTGCACCTCCATGCAGAACATGTTGGCGATCTGATCCAGGGTGGGCGGATGTGCGTGTTGCCAATGTTGTTCTTGCTGTACGGGTATTATTGTTGGTTGCTGTGCCTCTGGCGGAGTCGTAAGAGTCGGAATAGTAGTCGTAGGAGTCGCAACCGTATGCACCTCAGGACCGCCGTCGACGCCGTCCATTTCATTCGTGGGCTGAAGAAGCGCCTGCGCAAAATGCTTTGCCGCCCAACCCCCACTGGCGTGCCTGCAGCGCGGGGGTGGGCGCGAGGAGGGCACGCGATCTGCGACGGTCGATGGAGAAGAACATATCGAAGACGTGGCCCTCAGAAATGGAACGTCGAAATATGTAGGATGTAGGGGGCTGCTCCTTCAAGGAGCGAATGTGATGACGTTCAGCCGGCCGGCCACTTGAGCAAAAATCCTTCATTCCCGACGGCCCGTCCGAGCCCCCCGCAACGCCCCGAAGCATGGTTCCAAGAGATCCCACGAGGCTACTCGCACAAACACCCAGGGAGCTTCACCTAGGTAGCTTCACACCCATGGTAAGGAGGAGGAGGACGACGACGACGACGACGACGACGACACGACGACGACGACGACGACGACGACGACGACGACGACGACGACACGACGGCGACGACGACGATGACGACGATGACGACTAGGAGGAGGAGGAGGAGGAGGAGGAGGAGGAGGAGGAGGAAGAGGAGTTTTTTCCAGCAGTTTCTCTTCTCACGTGGTGAGGTCTGGGGCCGTGAGTCCTCTCGGCGCGGCCTCCTCGGCCCCTGGCAAGACGGGGGAACCACTCCCAGGCGGCGGAGGGGTCTGCCGCCCTTCCCGAGGCGGCCGCGGGGCGCTCTCGCGCACGGCGGCGCGCCTCCAAGTGCGGGAGGCTGCAGTCTCCTCCCCTCGCCCCGCGCCTCGACGCGAGGCTGGTCCTCCTCGCAGGCCAGCCCTTCTCACATCTTCTCGCAATCGTCTGCTGCACTTCTCACACTCCTCTTGCCAAACTTCCGTTTCAGCCACCGTCTGTGGCTGGCCTCGCTCCCTGCGCTGTAGCAGATGACGGTGGGCTTCGATTTGATCCCCCCCTTCCGCTTCGGTTCCATCGCTTCGCCTCCCGCCAGCCACTTCTCTGCGATCGCGGCCCTGGCCTTCCACATGGCACAGCTCGCTTTTTCGGATCAAGCCGTGGCGACGAGGCGGGACGAGGAGTAGTTAGGGTTAGGGATATTGTGCTCTTGCTTCGCCTCTGCAATCTTCTCGCATGCCCTGATCCCAGCGCTGTAGCAGATGGCGTCGGGCTCTACCTTCGCCTCCCACTTCTCGCGCTCGCTGTTCCCAGTGGCTTGGATCTTCGCCTTCTGCTGCCACTGCCCATCTTTCTCGCACTGCTCTCTCTGCTCGCACGCACAGAGTCCGTCTGTGCGCGGCTTCCACTGCCCGTCCGCTGAAGGTTGCCACGCCGCGCTGTAGCTGAGGCCGTCCGGTTCGTCTTCTTGAGGCTGCCACTGCCCGCGTTGCACGCACTCGCCGGCCTTGCCCTCTTGAAGCTGCCACTGCCCGTCCTTCTCGCACGCATAGGGTTCGTCTTCTGGAGGCTGCCACTGCCAGTCTTTCTCGCACGTACTGTTCTTGCCCTCTTGAAGCCGCCACTGCCCTTCTTTCTCGCACAGCTGCCACTGCCCGTCCTTCTCGCACGGATTGGTCTCTTTTGCTGGAAGCCGCCACTGCCCGTCTTTCTCGCTCGCATCGTGTCCGTCTTTCTGAGGCTGCCACTGCCCGTCCATCTCGCTCGCACATTTCTTGCCCTCTCGCAGCTGCCGCTGCCCGTCTTTGTCGCACGGTTGCCACTGCCCGTCCTTCTCGTACGAGCTGGCCTCTCGTCCTGGAAGCTGCCACTGTTCGTCCTTATCGCACTTTGGCCCCTTCCTCTCTTGAAGCTGCCACTGCCCGTCTTTTTTGCACGCCACGCTGTAGCTGGTAACGTCTGGCTCGTCTTCTTGGGGCTGCCACTGCCCGGCCTTCACGCACGCAGAAGCCGTGCCCTCCTGAAGCTGCCACTGCTCGTCTTTCTCGCACGCACAGTGTCCGTCTCTTTGAAGCTGCCACTGTCCGTCCTTCTTGCACAACGCGCTGTAGCTGATGGCGTCTGGCTCGTCTTCTTGAGGCTGCCACTGTCTGCCTTCTTGAAGCTGCCACTGCCCGTCTTTCTCGCACGCATAGGTCCTGCCTTCCTGGAGCTGCCACTGCCCGTCCTTCTCGCACGCATGGGTCCGTCTCTTTGAGGCTGCCACTGTCTGTCCTTCTTGCACGCCGCGCTGTAGCTGATGACGTCAGGCTCGTCTTCTTGAGGCTGCCACTGCCCGTCCTTCTCGCACGCAGGGGTCCTGCCCTCCTGAAGCTGCCACTGTTCGTCCTTCTCACACGCACAGGGTCCGTCTCCGTGAGGCTGCCGCCGTCCGTCCTTCTTGCAGGCCGCACTGTAGCTGGTGACGCATGGGTCGTCTTCTTGAGGCTGCCACTGCCCGTCCTTCTCGCACGCGTTGGGCATGCCCTCTTGAAGCTGCCACTGCCCGCCCTTCTCGCGCGGCTGCCACTGTTCTTGAAGCTGCCACTGCCCGTCTTTCTCGCCCGCTGGTTCCTCTGCGTAGGCCTTCATCTACTGCCAACCCCACCACGGCTCGTCGGTCTGCGGGTTGACGAACGGCATGACGAACTCCCCCATCATGGCGCAAGTCACGAAGGGCGAGGCGTCGGCATTCAGGCTGCAACCGTCTCGTTTCGCTGGGGGCTGCACCTTCGCCGCTTCTGCCTTCCACTTCTCGACTTCCTTTCGTAGCTTCTGCACCAGCCTGTCCGCGGAGGCGCGAGCACCAGCAGCGCCCCGCACAGGCTCCCGTCGCGCCGGCAGCGCTGCATCGGCTCTGCGGACCCGCCGGAAATGGCTAGGCCGCGCGGCTCGTGCCACCTAGGAGGAGGAAGAGCAGGAGGAGGAGGAAGAGGAGGAGGAGGAGGAGCATGATGATGATGGTGGTGATGGTGGTAATGGTGGTGGTGAGGAGGAGGAGGAGGAGGAGGAGGAGGAGGAGGAGGAGCATGCGGAGGAGGATGAGGACAAAGATGGGGAGGATGAGGAGGATGAGGAGGATGAGGAGGACGAGGAGGATGAGGAGGACGAGGCGGATGAGGAGGATGAGAATGTGGATGTGGATGACCACGAGGATGATGATGCTGATGATGATGATGATGATAATGATGATGAGGATATTGATGATGATTGATGATGCAGATGATGATGATGATGATGATGATGATGATGATGATGATGATGATGATGATGATGATGATGATGATGATGATGATGATGGTGGTGATGATGATGATGATGATGATGATGATGATGATGATGATGATGATGATGATGATGCGCGAGCTTTTCGTGACTGTATGGCTACCAGCACTTGGCCAATGATGTTCCTACTGATGATGTTGGTGCTGTTAATGGTGATTATGATCATGATGGTTGTGACGATGACGGTGAGTAGGATGATCAGGAGGAGTACGATGGTGAGGGTGAGGGCGAATGTCGGTTTGAGACCATTGTTTTTGCTGGTGGGCATCGTACCCGGTTTTTCCGTACCCGTTTCGGGCGCGCCAAGAGGGGAGGGGAGCGAAGGGATGGAGAGGTGAGTTCGGCGGGAAGGAGGAGAAGGAGGAAGGCGAGGAGGAGGAAGGGTGCCTCTGCCCCTCCCTCGCAGGCGCTCAAGGGGCGGACCAAGGGCCAGCCGCTCGTGGAGCGCCCTCCCCCCGGCCCGGGTGTGCCGCCAGCGGCCTCGATCTCTTGGGCTCCAGGCGTCTGATGTTCCAGCCTGCTTTAGCCTTGACCACCAGGAAGAGTTTCGAGCACCCAGCAAGCACCGAAACTGCACGGTTTTCACGTGTCGGGCGCTGGGAGACGATTTTCGTTCGACACTTTTTCGACACCTTTCCAGGTGCTCGAAATTATTTCTGGGATGCGGTCCGTAAGCACGATGGGGGCAACAGAACTCCAGGCCTCACACATGGGCGTCGAGCAGAAAGGGTCGAGGGAGCGCGCCGCATCGCCGATGCATCGCCGATGCGGCTCGATTTGGAGCCCGTTTCTCTCGACGCCGTCGGCGCCGATGCGTCGCCGGCGCCGATGCGGCGCGATCCTCCGATCCCCATCTACTGGGGCCCCAAGTGGGAGGCCTCCCCGGGTGCCCAGGGCCTGCGGCTGGTGGCCTTGGGCCGAAGAAGAGAAAGCGGCATAGACATGATCTGGCTTCGAGCAAGCTTGACGCTGCGCCCCGAGATTCCCTGAGATCCGGGCGGCGCATTTTTGTTGTCACAGCGGGCGGTGCCACAGATCGATCGGGCTCGAAAAATGCAGCAGAAAGATGGGGTCCAGGGCTCCGGTCGTGATGTCTCGCGAGGTTGCAACTTTGTCGCACTGTCGCAATGTCGGGCCTCGGGTTCTTTTTTGCTTTGGCGATCCCCGCCCAAGAACACGAGGCGGGATTCCCAGGGACCAGAGAGCACCAGCTCACTTTTGGCCTGGCGGCCGCGGCATGCAGTCGTCATTCGTCGAAGGCACGAGGCGGGCTGCCCAGGGAACACTGGCACTTTCTGGGCCCGGCGGCCGCGGTGTGCAGGGTGTGCGAGGCGGGCAGCGAGCTGTTTATTTCTGCCCCAAGCAGTGCTTGCGCTTAGGGGTTACCACGTCTGTCTTAAGCAGCTGGGCCTGGTCGCCGGTTTGGCAGCTATGTCGTCGCCGTCGCCGCCTCGTCGCCGCCCGCATTCGCTCGCACCACGTAGATTGCGCACAACATCGGTTCTCCTCTCGAAAAGAGTGTTCGGATGTACCCCCGACCCCCCCACGGGCTTAACGGGCCACCTTTTCGTATTGCAATTTACATGTGGGTCTGCCCCATCGCCCATCTTAAGTACGATGCCGTACCATCCCAGGCGATCCTGGTATCGATCACCCCCTCATCCATGTCAGATACTACGAGGCGCGCACACTCGCTTATCAAACAATCATCAGTTTTCAAGAGTCCTCGTTGCAAAAGATGAAACCAAATTGGCACGCGCGCGTCGTCGCGCGCGCATGCCGAAATCCTTCAAAAACATTGTGTGCCGTAATGGTGTCAAAAACGTGTGCCCTGGAAACATACGACAACATATGGCTTCGCAACAAGGAGTTTCAAAAAAACTTGCGCGCGCGATATTGCGACTTCTTAAGAAGACCATCGTTGTTTCATCACTTTCGTAAAATACTACCAAGCGAACTTCGCGCGCGCATATCGAAATCGTTCGAACGCCCATGCGCGCGTGCTGCCGCAATAATCTTTTGCAACGAATGAGACGAAGTGCACACGCGCGCGTCGTCGCGCGCGCATGCCGAAATCTGTCCAAAACCTTCGGTGTCGTAAGGATTTGAATGAACATCGAGTGGTCCGAAAACATATAAAACATTGGGTTTTGCAACACCAGTGTTCAAAACATGCCTGCGCGCCTTGCCGAATTCTTGAGCAAACAATAGGTTTTTCCAATACTGCCATCAGATTCTGGCTAACCGTCCTCCCGCGCCGCATATCGAACTCATTCGAACGCCTTTGCGCGCGCGCTGGGCGGGGCATGATCCGTGTCAAATAATACCACGCGGGCCATTCGCGCGCGTCGGCCGCGCGCGCATGTCGACCTCTTCCCAATACTTCATCACCGACGTGAGGACATCGTCAGACATCGTCCTCGTTACCGGCGGACGTGGTCAATATCGGCGCCGCCATTGGCCTTGCCGTCGTCATCGCCACCATCGCCACCATCATCGTCATTCACATCATCGTGTCTACCGTTGTCGACGTCGCCATGATACCGCGCCCGCCCACTTCACCGATTCGCATCCAAGTGCCCGCTGGGATGTGCCCAGCGGTCAGCGCCACCGCGGCAGCGTCGGTCGCGCCGCACTGGCTGGCCGGAGTGCGCGCGAGCATGCGCGGGCTAGCGCGGCCGCAGACATGCACTAGCCAACGCCAAGCAAGCATTGCAATCACCGTCGCATGGGTTTTGCAAACCACGTTGGGGTGGTTGGGTGGGATGATTGCGCGAGCAGTGGAGTTGTCAACTTCAAATGCCCCCCCCCCCGGGATTATCCGCACCCCTTTTCGTATTCTAATTCACACACGATTGTGCCCCATCGCCCGTCCTAAACATGAACTCGTACCATCCCAGCCAAGCCAGCATCGACCCCCACCGAAATCCTTCACGACATATATTATGTGCGCGCATTCGTTTATCAAAAGTCTTCAGTGTTCAAGAACCTTTTGCGAACAACGGGACGAAAGTCGCACACGCGCGTCGTCGCGGGCGCATTCCGGGATCCTTCAAAAACCGTAGGTATCGTCAGGATTTCGAAATACAGTGACCAAAACACATATAATAACACAAGGTGTCGCAACATGGATTCTCAAAAAAAGCTTGCGCGCGCTCTTTCGCTATTTGTTGTAGAAGAACATACAGGTGTTTCATCATTTTCATAAAAGACTACCCAACGAGCTTCGCGCACGCATGTCGAATTCGTTCGAACGCCCTTACGCGCGTGCCGTCGCGAGAACGAGAACCCTCTATAAGAAATGTGACGACGTGCGCGCGCGCGTCGTCGCGCGAGCATGCCCAAATCCGTCAACAACGCTTGGTGTCGTAAGGATTTCAAAATCGAGTGTCCAATATGTATATATCATATTATATACATATAAATATACACATATATATATATACACAGACATGGACACAGACATGGTTTCGCAACATCAGTTTTCCAAAAAAACGGGCGCTCGCGCCCTTGCGAATTCCCAGGGAAATCGTAGGCCGCATGTTTATGTAATTCTTCCAAGCGGGCTTTATGGCGCCGCATGCCGAAATCATTCGCACCCCCTTGCGCGCGTGCTGGGGGGGGTGCACGATCCGTGTCAAATAATATCATGCGGGCCACTCTTGCGCGTCGGCCGCGCGCGCATGTCGAACGCCCTCCACAAACTGCATGGCCAACGCGAGGACGCCGTCATCGTCGTCGGCGTGATCAGCGTCGGCGCCGGCTCTGGCCGCGCCGTCGTCGTTGTCAACATCGTCACCAGCATCGCTACGATCATCATCGTGTCTACCGTTGTCGACGTTGCCTTGATACCGCGCCCTCCCACGTCGCCGAGTCACACAAAAGTGCCCACTGGGATGTGCCCAGCGGTCAGCGCCACCGCTGCCGCGCCGGTCGCGCCAAACCAGCTGGCCGCTGTGCGCGCGCGCTTGGCTTGGCGCGGCCGCAGAGATGCACCAGCCAACGCCAAGCACCCATCGCAATCGCGACCGCATGGGTTTTGCAAACCAAATTGTAGGTGGGCGGGTGGGGTGTTTGCAAGAGCATGGGATGTGTCAACTCGATTCTCCTTTCAAAAAGGCAAATCGGTTCTACCACCCTCCCCCCCCCGGACTTATCGATTCCCCGGGAACCTATTCAAAACACAGAACATTCTGACCCATTGCCGAACCCTTCAAAATCCAACGGTTGTTCAACATTCCTGTCAAATCGGGCTTCTCGGGCAACTTTTGCGCGCACGTCGATATCATGCAACAACGGTCGCGCGCCTGCCAGGGCCAACCCCTTGTAAAGAACACCTTGCGGGGCACATGCGCGCGGCCGCCGCGCGCGCAGGTCGAAGTCCTTCCGAACAAAATGTGGCTTCAACAATTTCAAGACCGAGCTGTGAATTCACACGAATCGTACCACACACCCTCGAAACAAATGTGCAAAACAAAAAAACTACCCGCGCGCGGCTTCCGAATCCTAGAAATCTCATGGTTGTTTTCAATCTATTTGTCACGCGAGCAATTTACGCGCGCGCGTCGAACGCCTTCAACATCGGTCGTGCGCCTGCTAGGGCCGCAATCTATTGTAAAGCATCCGATGCGGGGCACATCCGCGCGGCCGCCGCGCGCGCATGTCGAAATCCTTCCAAACACATTGTGTTTTCAACCATGTCAAGACCGAGCTTCATGAAATCACACGAATCGGACCATGCTTCCTAGAACAAAATCTGCACGACAAATCAAAATGTCTACCCGCGCGCGCTTTCCGAACCCTAAAAATCCAATGGTTTTGTTTCCAATATTTGGGTCACGCGAACAACTTTTGCGCGCGCGTCGAACTCCTTCACCATCGGTCGCGCGCTTGCCAGAGCCACAATCCCTTGAAAAAAACACCGTCCGGGGCACATGCGCGCGGCCGCCGCGCGCGGATGCCAAAATCCTTTTTGCCGTCGTCGTCGTCGTTGGCGTCTTCGTCGTCGTCGTCGTTCCCGTCGTTGTCCTCCCTCATCCCTCGTCGTCGTCGTCGTCGGCGTCGCTGGCGTCCAGAACTTCTCGACTCACGTCTTGTTCGCCGGAGCTCTCCACCCCCTCGTCGTCGTCCGTCGTCGTCGTCGTCGTCCCTCCTTCCTCGTCGCCGTCGTCGTCGTCGTCGTCGTCTTCGCCCTCACTCCTCCCTCGTCGTCCTCGTCCTCGTCGTCGGCGTCGCCGTCCTCCCTCCTTCCTCGTCATGGCCGTCGTCGTCGTTCGTCGTCCTCTTCGTCGTCGTCAACGTCCGTCGTCGTCGGTCGTTATTCTCCTTCCTCCCTCGTCGCCGTCGTCGTCGTCGTCGTGTGCTCTCCTCCCTCGTCGTCGTCGTCAGCGTCGCCTTCCTTCGTCCTTCTTCCTTCCTCGTCGTGATCGTCGTCGTCGTCGTCGTCGCCGTCCTCCCTCCCCCCTCGTGGTCGTCGTCGTCGTCGCCGTCGTCGTCCTCTGTATTTCCTCGTCGTCGTCGTCCTCTTTTGCGTCGTCGTCGTTTCCGTCGTCGTTGTCGCCATGGTCGTCCTTCCTCCTCCCTCGTCGTCGTCGTCCGTCGTCGGCGTCTCGTCGTCGTCCCTCCTATTTCGTCGCCGTCGTCGTCGTCGTCGTCGTCTTCCCTCCTCCCTCGTCGTTGTCGTCGTCGGCGTCGCCGTCCTCCTTCTTCGTCGTTCGCGTCGTCGCCGTCCTCCCTCCTCCCTCGTCGTTGTCGTCGTCGTCGTCGTCGCCCTCCCGCCTCCCTCGTCGTCGTCGTCTTTGTTGGCGTCGTCGTCGTTTTCGTCGTCGTCGCCGTCGTCGTCCTCCCTCCTCCCTCGTCGGCGTCGGTGTCGTGGGCGTCCAGAAGTTCTCGGGTCAGGTCTTGTACGCCAGAGCTCGGGCTAGCGCGGCCGCAGAGATGCACCAGCCAACACACAGCACTCATCGCAATCGCTCCCACATGGGTTTTTCAAAACAAGTTGTGGGCGGGTGGGTGGGATGATTGCGCGAGCAGTGGAGTTGACAACCTCAAGTTCGGCAAGTCAATTGCACAACATTGATTGCACCCCATCGATTGCACAGCATGGGTTGCACCACGTCGATTCCACCATATATGTATAGCACTATCTATCTTTCTTTTCTGAATGATAGGATCTAAGCCCCCCGACCGAAATTGACGGCTCCCTTTTTCGGAATGCAGTTTGCATACGTTTCTGCCCCATCGTCCATCTTGAATATGAGTTCGATTCTTCCCAGCCAAGCCGGCATCGGCCCCCCCCCCGTCATCCTCTGCAAAAAATCAGACTACGCGCGCGCGCACTCGTTTATCAACCATCAGAGATGTTTCCAGAGTCCCTTGCCAAAAATTAGACGAAGTGCACACCCGCACGTCGTCGCGCGCGCATGCCGAAATCTTTACAGAGGCTCTAGATGTCGTTAGGATTTGTAAGTCGAGTGTCCCGAAAACATATGAAACATATGGCTTCGCAGCACAATTGTTCAAAACAAAGCTTGCGTTCAGACTCTCGCGAAATCTTGAGGCAACCATCGGTTTTTCAACATTCCATAACTTGCTACCAAACGGGCCTCTCGCGCGCGCGTGTGGGATTCGCTCGAACGCCCTTGCGGGCGTGCTGCCGCAAGAATCTCTTGCAAACAAAACGGGGCAAAGTGCACACGCGCGCGTCGTCGCGCGCGCAAGCCAGAATCTTTCAAAAACCTTAGGTGTCGTAAGGATTTGAAAACAGAATGAGCCGAAAACATATTTAAGCAAATGGTTTTGCAACCTCAGTGTTCAAAAATGCTTGCGCTCGCGCTCATGCGAATTCTTCTAGAAAAACCATCGGCTTGATTCTACATACGCATTGCATTCGGCCAAACGGGCCCCTCGCGCCGCACGTCGAAATCATTCGAGCGCCCTTGCGCGCTTGCTGTGGGGGCCGGATCCGTGTCAAATAATACCATGCGGGCCACTCTCATGCGTCGGCCGCGCGCGCATGTCGAACTCCCTCCGCAACCGCCATCAGTGACGCGAGGCTCGCCGTCATCGTCGTCCGCGTGATCAGCACCGGCGCCGTCATTGGCCGTACCGTCGTCACCAGCATCGCTACCAGCATCATCGCGTCTACCGTTGTCGACGTTGCTATGATACCGCGCCTGGCCAAGTCGCCGAGTCGCATTCAAGTGCCCATTGGGAAGTGCTCAGCGGTCAGCGCCACCGCGGCCTCGTCGGGCTGCGCGCGCGAGCATGCGCGGGCTAGCGCGGCCGCAGAGATGCACCAGCCAACTCCAAGCAGACATTGCAACTGCCGCCGCATGGGTTGTACGAACCAAGTTGCGAGTGGGTGGGTGGGATGATTGCGCGAGCAGTGGAGTGGACAACTCACTGCGAACTGAAGTTAATCGCACCGCATAGATTGGACCACGTCGATTGCACGACATAGACCGCATCAACGGGATTGCACCACACGCGCACGCATTGCACCACATCGATTGTCCAATATATATATATATATATGTATTGCGCAACATCGATTGCTAGAAGCACACTGTTTGGGGCCAACGCAGGCGAACATATTTAAATCTAACAGGCTCAAACTGTCGGGTGGGGAATACGCGTTCGGAGCTCCGAAAATTTATGTTTATGCAGTTGCTTGCCTCTCTACTCGGGGGTAGGCGTCGGAGCATCATGCCGCTGTGCGGGGCTGGAATGTGGCTTCGTCCCCTCGGCGGGCTGTTCTTAGGGTGCTGGGCCGTGGGGGACCCATTAATTTGGGGCAACCCCGGGGGTCCACAGCTACAGCTCAGGGGGCTGAAATTCAGGCCGATCTGCGATCGACGACGACTGTCCAGATGTCTTGCCGTTCAAGCACGCCGTCGGGAGAGTCTATGACTCTTGCCGGAGTAGGAGTAGCCGTGGAGCCCTGATACTTGCCTTCGGAGCCGCTTGTTGCCAGGGCCGCGACACGTTCGGCGTCCCAGATTTGTGGAGGCTCGAGGTTCATCCGAGAAACGCCACCCTGGGCGAGATAATGTCGCCCATTCTGGCTTCCGACTCCCAGAAGCATTAATATTATGTGCTCGAAGTGGGTATTGTCTCGTTGGGGTCAGTCTCGCTGTGCCCTGATTTATTGAAACATCCAACACATATATATACCAGGGGGCGTTACACACATACGCTCAAAGCGCAGTGGCGGAGTCATCAATAATGGATCCGGTAAGCAAAACTACCCGCGGGGAAGGGATTGGGATCTCTGGGGCCGCGTATTGAAAAAGTCATATCGCGGCACTCGCTGCTCCGATCTCCTTGGCCCCTTGGGAGCAGGAACGCCAGTCTTCATGCAAGCCAGGACGCATGAGCGATCTCTGCAGCAGCACCAATCGAAATTGTCGACGAGTCCAGGTGTAAGACACAAATTTGTTGTGCTCTAGATTGCAAGAGGGAGCCGCGAAGTTGGTCTTGAGTGGACCCTGCCTGGCTCTGATGACAGCTTCGAGGGGCAACCTTTTCAGGATTGCATGCTCGCCTACGGGGACAGAGAGACGGCCAAGATGTTGAAAGGTTACATCACTTTCTTGGCTTATGTCATCGGGCTCAGCTTGAATCCATTGCTTGCAGTCTGACGCAGTTTCTGGCATGTCGCAATCGACCTCGTCTCCTCCTACCTCGGCATGCTCGACCCCCCTGGCCCACCCACTCACGAAGACACCACTAAACAACCCACAGGTCAGCGGAGGCCGACCCCCTTCCAGGATATTATTTGTGAATTTGTGTAGGTCGACGGTGGGGGTTCTTTTTTGCAGCGGTCAGGACTGGACACTTGAAGAACTTGCCGTCGAACGTGTGGTCAGAGCGTGCTCAGATAATAGGATGTCAGAGCTCCTACTCGTGGCTAGGCCTTGCAGACATTGGTTCAGGCCACTGCCACGGGCAGCATCTCGCAGAGGCGTGTCTTTCCCGTGGGATCGTGCACGTCACCTCTGAGTATTCATTCCGGTGCAGGCTGGTTTCGAAGAGGGTAAATTTGGTTGTTCATGTTGAGTTGTTCACGACATGTACGTAGGCACGACCTTCTGTTCTTCGTCGTATCACTTGATTTGCTGTTCGAACCGCTTCTCAGATATTTCGTGTGTGCATGTCTGTGTGCGCGTGTGCTTGTGCCAAACAAAGAACTGGCTAGCCAACACTGCTGACATCGAGCGCGGCCGGGTAATGCACAAGCTTACCTCCAAGTACTGGTCCAAAGAAAAGGCTGGCAAGACCACAAAGCGAAACAACTGGGACTGGAAGGTGGGCGCTTTGCTGATGAGGATGTGGAATAGGAGAAGAAGGGGAATACAGATGGGGAAGCGCAAATTCGCACCTTGCATAGGATGAGAAGGAGGATGAGGATGAGGAGATGACTCGGGGAGTTACAATTCCTCGTGAAGAATTCTTCGCTGCACCATGCATGCCAAGGGCTCAGCTTACAGAGAAACCTGGTCGTGAGGATGAGCGCAAGAAGCGAATGGCTTTGCATGATTCGGTTATGGGTTTCCTCGGTATCGGTTGCATCTTTGGCATGCCTATCATGGGCATCCTTTGGCGTTATCAAGGTGCCTCATTCTCGCTCCTACAAGCAAGACGCTAAAATAAGGGCCGTTATCAGCTCAGGAGGGGCTCTGGTAGTCGGACCCTTCCTTTGATCTGGGTCGGGAAACCTGCTCGTGGCTGAAGCTCGCGAGCGCCAGAACAGGCCCTTCGTTCCTCACTCAGCGTTCCGCGTGGTAGCACAAGGACTGTGTGACAACTTGCGGCAGCCTCCTCAGCAAGAGCTGCAACCCTCGCCAGCCGTTCTGTGCCCGCGCCCTGTTCGCTACTCTGCTGCGCGCCCTCGGCACTTCGAGCAGGGAGAACGATTTCGCACATCGCTGCTGCCCTGGGATTCCGAGTGTTGCTGCAGCCACGCGCAGAGGTTGGTATGGGGGAGGGGGGAATATTGTCGGAAGCACAGCTGCTTCTTAGAAGGCGCAGGCCTTGTCTGTAGTTGTAAGGCTGGCGCCTTCTGAGAAGCAGCCTCCTTCTAAGAAGCCTTCCTCCCTCCCCCTGCCCCCCTCTGCGCGCCGCCAAGGGCGCTGCTGCTCTTGCAGCAGCTACGGTCGGGAACCTTCGGACAGCGCGTCGCTCTGCCGGCTCTGGCCCACCACGCTTCGGCGCGACTCGGCTAGGGCACCTCAAGCAGTGGCGAAGCGTCCTGGCTCGCCTATAACCCTACCAAACAATGTTCTAAGAACCGTTTGTGGTTTCCACGAAATGTTCTTAGAACATTTCTGGCGGAGTCTGTTTTGTTTTATCACATCGGGTGTATATTCTAAGAGCATCGTTTTTTGTTCTTGGAACATGTTTGGGTTCTAAGAACATTTCGTGGTAGGACTACAGAAATGCCGGGACGGTCGGTCCCTGCTCAAGCTACATCCCTCCTCGAGATCAAACGCAAGTTTTTCCTGCGACGTGGCGGCGCCCCGGGACACCCAATCCAATGTTCGCACCGAAATTGGCGACTGCTAGCGACAAAAATCAGGCCCCGCGGCCGCGTTGCGCGCGTCGATCTACATCAAAAACTTGCGTTTAATTGCGAGGAGGTTTTGGGGGCGAGGATGGATCCGTCCCAGAGCGTTAAGGAACGCTCTGAGAAGGCCGCGGCGCCCGAGACATCCTCTGGGTGTTGCTAGAAGTGCCCCTGGCCCAAGGTGCCCCCAGAATTTCCAAGAAGGCCCCCACGGCCCCCAGAGCACCCCTCACGAGGCCCAGAGGGCCCCAGGGGCACCAAGACTGAGCGAAAAGCTGGGGGCACCTTGGGCCACGGGTACCTTTAGCAACCCCTCCAGAGCCGCCAGATCTCAGAGACTCTCGATTTCTCCTCACCCGAATCTGTCCGCTTCCTGGCTTCGTCTTAGAGGCACGACTTCCTGGCCCCCAAGCGTGAACGCCTCCAGCCTCTCGGAGCTTCGCGCACCGCGGAGCGGAGCGGAGCGCCACGCTATCCCTGTCGCCAGGGCGTAGCGTGTCGCCTGGGGCCGTCGCGACGACGCGCGAAGCAAGAGTTCCCAGCCGTAATCACGTTGACGAGTGGTCCTGAGGTGAGCATGACTTCAGAGCTTTCTGCAGTTTCCAGCCTCCTGGGGCACCCGCTAGGCCCCGGGGCCATCAGGACAAAAGAAGAACCCGTGGAGAGGCCCAGGTCCAGGACCGGTTTGGTTTATGGCTTGAGGATTGAGCTGTGGTTTCGACGGGGACTCCGCTGGCTCTATCGATTGGTGTCGGCGCGTAGAAATCACTCAAAAAAGCTAGGTTGCGCGCACACGATTTCCCATCCCACGCAGCGCGCAGAGCTGGCCAGCACTGGCCGCACCAGCGCATTATGCCCAGCTCCTGGAAGGGCCCTCCTCGGGGCAACCAGCACTCTGCATCTGTTTTGCTGTCTTGCAGAGTGCCAGCGGCCTGCGGCCTGGGGCCCCGGGCCCCAGCCCCTCGTGGTCCCCGCGTCCGCCCTTGCGGACAGCGCCGACGTCGAGGATCTGGGTCCGCGCGCGCGCGGCCACAGAAAGTGGCTTGCAGGAGCTCTGCAGGGAGTTCATGGACAACGAGCCGGCGAAGATAGAGGACCGGTTGTGCACTCAGCCGCGGCCCGATCTGGGGCACGGGCTCCGACCGCGGATCGCCCAGCTGGATCGGTTTCTCGGCTTGGCCGGCCGGGCATGGGAGCGTGGGCCGAGTTGGCGGGCGTGGCCGTTTGATGGCCAGTCGATTCCGGCTGGGATCGTCGGGGATGCCCGCGAAAGGTTCTACACCATGTTCCCGCAGGACAAGAACCAGCAAGAGGGCCTTCTGAAGTCACCGTGGGACTCGAGCAAGCATACTTGCAATGTCGCGCGTCGAAATGTCGTTTTATCTGTATGAAGTTGCCGAGGGGTGTGCGGACAGAGGGAGGTGTCGTCGAGTCTCACCACGCTTTTCAACGTAATGACTCATGGTGGCTGAAGACTGCAGGGTCTCGACTGGGTCTCGATTCATGCATGTTGAACGCTGCGTTCGCCATCAGCATTTCGCCAACGCTGGAGGGGGCTAATCCGAATTGCTAGAAGCTGGGTGCACTCCTACGGTGGTCAACCCCCTTTGTTGGAAACAACGCGACACGTACAACGGACTACCACGGGAAATTGTGACTGTCTGTTCGGGAATTATTTCTACAGCAGCGCCCGAGTTCTCGAGATGGCTATGATTGAAACCTTCTGGGAAGAAAGATCCAGCTGCCTGCGACACACCCCACTACCGTGCCTATGCAACAGCGCAACAGGAATAAAGTAAAGTGTAGGAGCAGCGCAGTTTGGACGACTGGTCTAAACTCGGAAAGTCGTGAACACGACCTCGCCTTCATCCACGTGGTAGGGGTACGTCGAGTTCATGCCCCGTGGCAGTTCAGCGAGCGGTCTGAATTGAGGCGGGTCGTGAACTCGATCTCATCTTCGTCCGCGTGGCAGGGAGGAGGAGGAGGAGGAGGCGGCGGAGGCGGAGGAGGAAAAGGAGAGGGAGACCATGATGACAAGGAGGATAGGGCCCCACTGGGGGCCTCCTGAGTGCCTCTTGGCCTCTTGGGGGCCTCCTGGGGCATCTTGGGCTGTCTTAGGCGGCGTTTGGCCCGTTTGACTCCCTCGAAGGCCGTCTTGGGGGCCTGTCTAGGCCGTCTCGGTACACTCCTGGAGCGCTCTAAGGCCGTCAAGGGGCCCTCTTGGGAGCCTCTTGGGCGAGCTTGGGGTCCTCTTAGGCCGATTTGGGGCTTTTCTTGGAGTCCTCATGGGTTGTCTTGGAGCTACCTTGGAGGCCTCTTGGGCCGTCTTCGGTGGTCGGAACCCCAAACATGCGAGAACCTCAGTATCAGCGAAACAGCAACAGAAAATCAATGGTGTTTGCTTCCTCGGGCTTTCCTTGAGGGCCTCGTGAAGCCCTCTTGGGCCGTCTTGGAGGCCTCCTGGGCCGTCGTGAGGCCGTCTTGAGGCTATCTTGGGCCATCTTGAGCCGTCTGGGCGTCGTCGTCGCGCCATCGGGGTCGTCTGGAGGCCGAGAAGGGCGCCAGAGAGCAAATTCGGGGGTGCGATGTTCGAAGGGTGCGCGCGAGTACGGGGTGGTCGGACGGTTGAGTTGACAAACCGCGTGCGTGTATCATACATCTATATATATATATATATATATATATATATATATATATATATATATGTTTTTCGCGTTGCCCTTTTCTCTTCGGTATCCGCTTGCCCTGTTTGAGGTGTTTCGACTTGCCCTGTTGCGTCTCCGTCTTGCTCTTTTCGGTAATCCGTCGGTAGCCTTTCGGCTGCCGTGAGGCCTCCAAGAGGCCCCCAGGAGGCCTCAAATTGCTTCCACGAGGCCCCCGAGAGGTCTCCCAAGACTCCCAAGCAAGCATCCACGAAGCTTTTGACCCACATCCCAGGCACGGTGGCGGGATGGGCCGAAAGACACTATGCAGTCTGTTCGCCTTCCCCCATCCTCCTCTTTCTCCTCCTCATCCTCCTCTTTCTCCTCTTTCTCCTCTTCCTCCTCATCTTTCCTCAATGGTCTTCATTGTTTGGTGGCCTACGCGGCGGCTTTGCCAGCCAGAAAGGGTTCCTCACGTGCCAGCCCCAGAAAATATGACCGAGATCTTCCAGGCAGCAGGCGAGCGCTCCAGCACGCCCACTCCGCGCAGGCACGTTGGCGGGTATTTTCAGGGGCGCGCCAAAAGAGTTTTGTGGGTGGGAGCCCTCCCCCCAGACATTGTACAGATTCGTCCAGCGCCCTGAGGCCCTGGATTGAGGACCCCTCGTTCATGCGCCTGTGTTGTGGTTTGTGGTGAGGGCGGTCAAGCCTCACACGGTTGGAAAATGTAATGTCTTTCCATCGACGCGACTTTACTCCATCAGTCGCTGAAGCTTGCGGAGCCTTTCCAGCTTCGTTCCACAGCCGGCAGCACGGCCCTGAAGTGTCTGCCTTGTGTTTCTTCAAGACACGGGCAGGGAGGTGCTCGACATGTACGTGTTCGTTTTCTTGCAAAGTCGGCCTAGCGATGCCCTGGCCTCGTTTGCCAGTCGTTCGGGGTCCAAGTCGGGCCTCTGATCGTGCCAGCTTTTCAAGAAGCCACTAGGGCCACCACTGACGGCGGCAGCGGCTTCCTATCGCGTGAACGCTTGGAGGCAGCCAGAGAAGCTCACATCAAAACGTCACAATTGCTCAGCACGAGAGCCGACGTGAACCGATGGCCCTCCCCTGGGCCTTCTGGCATAGCTGCAGCCCACCCCGCCCTTCAGGCGAACCGACGGCCGCCGCTACGAGGGCGGCCTGAAAGATGGGAAGCCGCACGGTTTTGGTGTGTTCACTATGCCGGACGGCACCACCTTCGAGGCGGCGGCGCCTTGGCGAATCGGAATAGCAAGCGTGAGGGGACGAGACAATGAGCCACTTGAGAGGGGAGAGGTGGAGGAGTTAGTGTGGTTTGCTTTTTGTGTGTTGGTGTGTTTGTGTGCTTGTGTGCTTGTGTGCTTGTGTGCTTGTGTGTTTGTGTGTGTGTGCGTGTGAGTGTGTGTGTGTGGGTGGGTGGTGTGTGTGAGTGTTCGTGTGTTGTGTTTGTGCGTGTGCGTGTTACGCAGCTTCCCTCGGGTATGCTACGGCTGGCGTGGCCACGCCGTTGGCCCGACAGTCAACCCGCATTGGAAGGACAAACAACCTTCCCAAGGGTACCTTTGCATCCTTGCCTCCTCGGTCCATCCTTCGCCACTTTCGTTGGCCGCGCCCCGCTCGAAAAGCTTCGAAATGGGCGTCCAAGGCCCTTGCATCCGTATCGCGCATCCTTACTATACGGGCTGACTGGACTTTACCCATCATCGCGGTCGCTTTGCGTTGCTGGTCTGTAGGTCCACACCTAACCGATCTACCTCGCAGAGCCGCTAGGCCGGACACCAACAATCTGCCTAGCAGCGTATCCATTTGCGTTTCATGTTCTAACGCTGCTCTGGAGATTCAGTGGCCGCAGTTGGCTCCTGGCTGTCGCGCGTCAGTTCACTTTGAGTTGCGTGTTCTTCTCGTTTTCTCACCGCTGCATGCTTGGTTTCGACATATAGTTCCTCTAACACACCCACCGGTTGCATGGTGCAGTGTGCGACGCTTGGTACGCTGCGCCTTCGACACCGCTCGATCACAATTCGCACTTCCATCTGCTGCTCGCGCTTGAGGGCCCTCTGCGCCGCCGACTTAAAAACCTGTGTGTGTGTGCGTGCGTGTGCGTGTGCGTATGCGTGTCTGCATCTGTGCCTGTGTCTGTGGCTGTGTCTGTGTCTGTGTCTGTGCCTGTGTCTGTGCCTGTGTCTGTGTCTGTGCCTGTGTCCGTGTCCGTGTCTGTGTCTGTGTTTGTGTCTGTGTCTGCGTCTGTGTCTGTGTCTGTGTCTGTGTCTCTGTCTGTGCCTGTGTCTGCGTCTGGGTCTGTGTATGGATCTGTATATGTGTCTGTGCCTGTGCCTGTGCCTGTGTCTGCGTCTGGGTCTGTGTATGGATCTGTATATGTGTCTGTGCCTGTGCCTGTGCCTGTGTCTGTGTCTGTGAGTGTGCCTGTGTGTCTGCGTTTGTGTTTTTGCCTGCGTCTGTGTCTGAGTCTGTATATGTGGCTGTATATGTATCTGTGTCTGAGTCTGTGTCCGTGCCTGGGCCTGCGTCTGCGTCTGCGTCGTTTGCGTCTGTGTCTGTGCTTGTGTCTGTGTCTGTGCCTGTGCCTGCGTCTGTGTCTGTGTCTGTGTCAGTGCCTATGTCTGCGTGTGTGGTCTGTGACTGTGCCTGAGGCAGTGTCTGTGTCTGTGTCTATGTCTGTGTCTGTGTGTGCTCTGTGCCTGTGTGTGGTTGTGTGTTTGTGTGTTTGTGTGGTTGTGTCTTTATGTGTGTGGTTGCGTGTTTGTTTGTTTGTGTGTTTGTTGTGTGTGTGTGTTTGTGTTGGTGTGTTTGTGTGTGTGTTTGTGTGTGTGGTTGTGTGTGGTGTTGTGTGTGTGTGTTTGCCTGCGTTTGTGTGTGCGTGTTTGTGTGTGTGTGTGTGTGTTCGTTCGTCTTTGTGTGTCTGTGTGGTGTGTGTTTGTGTATGTGTTTGTGTGTAGTCGTTAGCGTTTGTGTGTATTTATGTGTGTGTGTGTTTGTGTGTGTGCGTGTTTGTGTGTGTGTTTGTGTGCGTGTGTGTGTGTGTGTTTATGTGCGTTTGTGTGTGTTTGTGTGTGTGTTTGTGTGCGTATGTGGTTCATATGTGGTTGTGTGTGTTTATGCGTGTTTGTGTGTATTGTGTGTGTGTTTGGGTGTGTGTTTGTGTGTGTTTGTGAGTGTTGGTGTGTTTATGTGCGTTTGTGTGTGTGTGCGTGCGTGCGTGTGTGTGTGTGTGTGCGTATGTGTGTGTGTGCGTGGGGGGGGGGGGGGGCAGGGCCTGGCTGTGCGCCGGCACCGGTTCCTCGCCCCCAGGGAGCCCCAGACGGCGTCCTCGGAAGAATCCCGCGAATTCGGCGTCCTCGTTGCTTCCAAAAGGCGCGCGCAGCCTCCCAGTGTTGAAGTCCTGGCTCTGGGCGAACGAGGGTCCGCCAGGCTCGCCCACTGGCATCCAGGGGTCGGCGGAGTTGGTGATATGTGTTGTTGTTACCGTCCAGTGCTATGGGGTATCCAGCTGTCTGCAACACGTTCCATCACCGTGCAGCGCAACACTCTGTGGTGGCGTTTGGAGCGTCGCCTAGAAGGCCTTAACATGTGACACATCTCGCTTCGAATCCTCGAGAGGCTACCATGAGGTCGAAGTGGGCTGTCTTGCGCGATGTGGGACTGTCATTGGACACTGTTCGGACATTCTCGGGTCATCTTGGGGCCCTCTCTTTGGCCGTCTCGGGGCCTTCGTTGGGCCATCTTGGCAATTCTGGGAGCACTTTGGGGCTGTCCTGGGAGCCTCGCGGGGTCCTTTTGAGCTGTCTCGCCGCTTTCTTAGGTTGTTTGGGGGCCTTCTTCGAGCGGTCTTAGGCCGTCTGGGGGGTTCGTGGGGCCCCCACGGGACCAGTTTGGACACTCTCTGGCTCCGAGGTCATCCTGGAGCTATCTTGAGGTCAGAGAGCCGGAAAGCCAGAAATCAGATCAGCAATATCGGAGTTGTTGTGGCGTCTCCGTCGCCGCACCAGCCGCGGCGGCGGCGAGTGGCGACGGGGCGTCGGAGAGGAGGGCCTCGGCGGCGTCATGAGGAAGGAAGGGAGCGGAGGAAGATCGAGGACCTGCGTGAGTTGGATCACCGTGAGGGTTGTGGATCCGCCAGGGTGGCCTTCAGGGGAGTCTCTGGACCTTTCCACGTGTGTCTCGGCAACCTCTCTGGACCCCCAGTCGCCATCCTAGGGGTTTGCCGGGAGCCTCTCACGGCAATGTTGGGCCATCTTGGCGGCTTTGGCGGCTTTCCAGGGTTGTCCGCGTAGCCTCTTGGATGGGGAGAGGTGTGTGGGGGACCTCTTAGACTACTTCCAGAAATCCCATCAGACAGCTCAGGCATTATCGGCGGGAGACCAGTCCTGTGATCTTGCCTCTTCTTTGTCCGACTCTTAGTCCGACTCCCTTCGTGGTTTCTTCAATGGGATTCCCTACCAGGACCGTTGGCAAGGCTCCCTGCTAGGACTCCTTAGCTGGGCTCTTAGCCAAGACTCCAAGTAGGACCCCCCCTCATAGGACCTCTAGAACCCCCCGCGAGAACTCTTGGCATCGCTACCTATTAAGACTCGCAGTCGGCCTCGCTGCTAAGACTCTGAGCAGGACTTCCCCGCATTATAGCTGGGGAAGCACAAGGCGAGCGCGCCGTTCGACCCTTCCTGGAAATTGCCCAGACATTCCGTGGGCTCGATTTTCGTGTCCAGGGAATTCACCGCAGGGGAAGCGCTGGGCGATCGCGCCGTTCGACCCTCTTGCAAGCAGCCCGCGGGTTCGGCGGAGTACAGATATCTACGCGTTCCCGACAGCTCCATGCAAGCGCGCTGAGTGGAACCGACGTTCGGCAGCAGACAATTTGGAATTCTTCTTGGGCTAGCAAGACTCCCTACTAGATCCCTTCGTGGGACTCCCCACTGGGACTCTTACTAGGACTCTCCGCCAAGACTCTAAGTAGGACGGGCTCCTTGCGAGGACCCTGAACAAGACGTATTATTGGGACTCTTCGTGGGACTTCCCACTCAGACCCATAACCCGATCCGACCCCCACATGGACTCTTCGAAGGACGCATTCGTAAGACTCCTAGAACCCGCCTCGAACCCTTAGTCATGTTCCCTACTGGGAATCTTGGCGCAACTCCCTGCCCTGACGGCCCTTATACCAGGAGTTCTGCTTGAACCAAAATCTGAGGACTCCCGACTAGGATTCTTAGCGGCGTCGTAGTCTTCCATAGTGCAATTGTTAGTGGGGCTCTTCGTTAGTTAGACCCCTACTAAGACTCTTAGTGAGTCCCCTGCTAAGACTCTTAGTGAGACTCCCCACCAGCACTCCTAGAAGGACTCCCTAGTATAACTTGTAGTGCGACTCCCTACGAAGACTCTGCGTCGGACTCCCTACGCGGCCTTTTCAGTAGGACTCCCCACCAGGATCAATACTGGGGCACTCCACCGAAAATCTAGAAGTAGCGCCCCCATTCATTGGACTCTAGCTAGGGCTCCCTACTAGGACTCTTAGCATAGCCCCCCACTAAGACTCGCAGTAGGCCTCGCTGCTGACTCTGGGCAGGACTTCCCCGCATTATAGCTGGGGAAGCACCAGGCGAGCGCGCCGTTCGACCGTGTGTAAGCTGCCCAGAAATTCCGCGGGCTCGATTTTCGCGTCCTCGGAGATTGATCGCAGGGGAAGCGCCGGGCGAGCGCGCCATTCAACCCTTGGCTGGAAATTGTCGAGAAATTCCGCGGGTTCGATCTTCGCGCCCGAGAAATGTACCGCAGGGGAAGGGCCGGCCGAGCGCGCCATTCAACCCCGCGGAAGTTGCTCGGAGAATCCGCAGGTTTGATTTTCGCGTCCGCGGATTTTTTCGCCGAGCGAGCGCGCTCAGAAATTCCGCCAGCTCGATTTCCGTGCCCGTCGAATACACCGCAGAAGAAGCGCCAGGCGGGCGCGCCATTCCACCCTTTGGGAGACTGCCCAGAAACCGGGCTCGATTTTCGCACCCGTATCGCAGGGGAAGCGCCGAGCGAGCGCGCCACTCGACCCTTTGAAAACTGCCCAGAAATTCCGCGGGCTCCAGAAATGAGCCCGCGGAATCCCCTGGCATTTTCCAATTGGTCGACTGGCGCGCTCGCTCGGCGCTTCTCAACGATAACTTACAAAGGACGTGAACTGGTGTACATGTAGGCAAATTCTGGGACTTGAGTTCCAAACCGTCAGCTGATTAGACCTTCGCTTCAACCATTGCGTTACAGAGGCCCCGGAATTCCAATAGCACACCTTGTTTTCAATCATCGCTGCTGAAACAAATCATGTTTTCACGTGCGCGAGAGGCCCATGCAGACGAGGTTGGAGCGGAAGCCGCGTTCCTGAGCCTCGCGCGTCAGGCCACGCTCCTAGGCCACAAGGGGAGTGCCACCACTCCGCCGTTTCACGCCACCAATAAGACCAAACGCCGACAAGCCATCCCAAGGAAGTTATCAAACCCCCCAGAGAGCAAAATTACAGGACCGCTCTGCCGGCGCATTCTAGCACGCCCACATAGTGGTGCCACGGTTGATGACTTGCTCTGCTACGCGGTGATATCCCATGCTCTGGGCCAGTGTCAACGAAGAGTTGCCTCGGCGCAAAGCGTTTACGGTTATGCAGTTGTGTCACGCGTTTCTGGCTACCCAGTGTCGAAAGTGCAGTTTCGCCAGTGTCAAATGTGTAGTTGCCCATAGGGCTTCACAGTGTCAAGAGCAGGTTGACATTACACCCCCGAGACAAAGTGCACTTGACACAATTCATTCGCCGTCCAGGCGTACATCAACCATTCCGGGCAGAATCCAGTTCTGCAAGGCCCCAATATTCGTTTGGCATTGGAGACGCCGCGTCAAATGATGATACATCTAAGAATCCGCTTCGAGATCCAGTGTCAAACACCGCAGATGGAAGCAAGAACCGACCACAGTTTGACACCTTTTGCAGCGCATCTCACGCCCAAGGCACCACTGGAACTACTGCCCCCTCTTATTTGCCAGGGCTGGGCTCCCCGGGACGGGGGAAGGGGGAGGTGCAATCTTCGGGAGCGGCCAAGAGGGGGGTGATGATTAGGGGGGATGGATATCATGGCGCGGGCCATGATATCTCCCCAGATTTCACGGCGCCTCTTCTTATTTCATTACGTCCCTGCCCACGCCCCCTGGGCCGCACACATGCCTCTGGCCATGATTTGCGACCCCCCGTCTTGGACGCATTTCTTAATATATGCGCTTCCGAGGCTTGCGCAGGGCCTCCAAGAGAGCCCCTGGATGCCAGGAGCGTCAACAATGACTTTCCATATGTTAGCCGATCTAGCCTAGCTAGAACCTGAGCGCGCGCGAAGCGCGCGCGATGGTTCTGGTATACTCCCCTCTGTATATTTTTACAATCCGGAGCGGGACCCCCGCCCCCCTCCGGGAGACCAGACTCCCTGAAATCCCCGATTCGGGACCCCCGGACTCCTTGGATTCCCTCATTTGTTTCGCGTCTGCGGCCCCTGGACGCCTTCCCAAAGGTCCCGCGAGACTTGCAAGCCTCTGGACGCCCCTGACGCCCATGCGAAGCTTTGGCAACGGGCCAGCGGGAGGTTCCCAAAGCGTCCCAAGAGGTCTCCAAGAGCACTCCCAAGAAGGCCCCAAGAGGCAAAAATTATTGGTTTGTTGTAGGTTTCTGGTGAATTTTGGGATTCTCATCTTTTCGGCATCCCGACGCTCCAAGACGGCGGTCTCGTGAGCGTCCGAAGCCGCCTGGGGGCTTCAAAATCGCCCCACAACCATCTGAAAGGGCTTCCAGACAGTCCAAGAGAGCCCCAAAACGGCACAGCAGAGGTCCAAGACGGCCCTAATAGAGCCCCATGGCGGCCCAAGATGGCCCACGACACCCTCCGAAGCATTCCAAATCGCAACCTGGTCGTTCAGGGAGACCGCGGTTGGAGGCAGGGCGGCCCGAGGAAGCCCCCATAGGCCCCCAGAACACGCCCAGGAGGCCTCCAGAAGGCCTTAATAGAGGCTCTCCAAGGAGGAGCCTCCGCAAAAAGAGCTGAGGAGGACGGGCAGAATGCGCAGGGCACGGCGAGAATGAGGAACATGTAACATGGAGGGAGGACAACGAACAAGTGGCACGCGTGCTATGGCTCTTACACGGAGAAGAAGGGGTCGGGGCGTAGAGGGCGCGTTGGTTGGTGGATGGGGGGATGCGGAGGGAGCGCTTGGGTTGGGGGAGGGGCCGTGCCGTGCCGAAATTAGAAGAGTCAGGGCGGAGGGGGCGGTGCCGCGCCGAAACAAAGGGATCGGGGCGGAGGGGGCGCGCTGGCTGGCTGGTGGGGGGGCGCGGAGAGGGCGCGGAGGGGGCGCGTGGGATGGGTGGGGGGCGTGCCGAAATAAAAGGGTCGGGGCGGATGGGGCGCGCTGTCTGGTGGGTGGGGGGGTAGGGTGGGGGCGATGGGGGCGCGCTGGGGGCGCGCTGGCTGGTGGGTGATGGAGGGGATGCCGTGTTGAAATAAAATGGTCGGAGCTCTAGACACCCTGTGCAAGAGAAAAACATTATTACAACGGCGATGCCAGAAAAGGCAAGAAAGAATTATCGCGAAATTGTCGGCTTGATTTTCCTGCCATTCCGCCTGCGTGCCAAATTTCAAGGACCAAGGTGCACGGCGCGAAGCGCTACTGCAGTCTTGTGTATATATATATATATATACACATGTACGTGTGTATACATATATATATATATATATATACATATGCATTTGCATGGTACACTTCTACATATTCTGTTCACATGAAACAGAGAGAGAGAGAGAGAGAAAGAGAGAGAGAGAGAGAGCCAGACCCGCCGCCAGGGGCAGTGGGACGAGGGTCGCATGCACGGCACCGGCAAGTACATCGATCCAAGCGGAGCACAGTACGAGGGAGGTTGGGTGACCGGCCTCAGCATTGTTGGGTGGATGGATGGTGGGTTTTTTGATTGTCTCGTTTTACACACCTTGTCGACGCGTCCTTTCTTGATTCTACTTTGAGCTCGGCTTGCATGGCTCCTGCTCGTTACCATTCGCGTGTTTCCAAAAGGAACCAATGTCGCGCCCCCTTCCGATCCTCTTCGAAGCTCCTGTTGGGACGCGTCGGGTTTTTCGCGACGAGGATGGGGAGGGAGGAAGCTGGAGGAGTAGACGGGAACGAGTCAAAGTATCCTTTGGCGTAGCCCGAACATATCTTTCGTGAGATGCCCTGACCGTCATGCTCTCTGATTGACTGATTGTCTGGCTACGTGGTCGCACTCTTGAGCAGGTCGTTTTAATTTTGGCGGCCGAGGGCGCAAACTATGGCGCAACAACAGGCTTGCCGTCGTATTTTCGGCAGCCGAGGGTGCAACCTTTAGCGGCGCAGTCACTAAAGGCCGTTTGGTGTTTGATAGCCGGGGGCGCAGCTTGTAGCGCTACCGGTAGCAGGCCATATTTTGGTTCGGCTACTTAGGGCGCAACCTATGGCGCATGCCATAGCTGCAACCTATGGATGGCGCAAACCATGGATGGCACGACCTATGGACGGCAGAAGTCGTGGCGCAACCTTGGTGCTACCGATGGACGGCGAAAGCCTTGGCGCACCCTAACCCATGGTGCAAACAATGGACGGCGCAAGCCATAGCGTCACTCGTGACTCGCCCCATGGGTTTCAGCATGGCTCGACCCGTGGCGGACATGCCGAAACCCATGGCGCAACCTGTGGTGCAACATATGGCGCAGGCTGTGACGCAATCCAGCGTGCAAACTATGACACTGTTACTTATAGCGCAACCGATGTTTCACTGGCGCATGCTTCTACGGGGCTACTCCAGAGTTGCGCTCGCCGCTTAACCTGGCGGGGGTTCCCAAGCGGCGAGTTGTCTTGTGATTGCACGTCGGATGCAAGACGGGATGAGGAGTAGGAGGTAGACTTGGGAAGGGTGAGGAAGCTTACGAGGCGGTGGATGAGATGGAGGAGTAAGTTGCCACTGATAGCTACATTGTCATCCCCTTTTCCTCCCCTCCTCCCTTTCTCCTCATCGTCATCCGTCGGCCTGATCTGTTCTGGTTTAGACGTGTGTGGCCTGGTCAAGTCTGTGTTGGTTTTGACTGGTCTGGTCGCGCCTTGTGTGTCCACTTTACTTCGGTGTGGGCAGTAGGGGATGAGATGGATGATGATGACGATGATGCTGCTGATGGTGATGATGATGTCGATGTTGATGCTGATGTTGATGTTGCTGATTCTGATTATGATGGTGGTGATGATGATGATGATGATGGTGATGCTGATGCTGATGGTGATGATGAGAAGGATTTCTGATGGCAGGAGCCAAATCCACATGACGTAATGACATTCCAGGCTGAGACAAAGAGTTGGAAACAACATGGGGATTCTAAACTAGTTGGCATTGTCATGCATGTCGGGTCGACGATGACGTCCAGCAAGCACATCACACAACGCGCGCATGCGTAGCGGACGCGGGTCAACAAGTTGATGACAATTCTTCGCCGCATGGAGCACGTCTGGGCGGCGACGTATTTCCCAACCATCTTGTAGTTGTGGGTTCTCGTTTTGAAGAGACATCGCCCCGTGCCCCTCCTCGTCCTATTTCCTCTTCCTTCTCCTTATCTTCCTGCCTCAGGTCTCCGCACTCGTCATCATCATCACAACCACCATGATCATCGTCACCATCATCATCGTCATCATCAGCAACAACAACATCATCACCACCATCACCATTCATCAGCATCTTTATCATTATCGCCGTCGTCATCATCAGAATCGTCATCACCAGCAGCAGCAATATCGTCATCGTCAGAATCACCATCATCAGCAGCAGCATCATCAGCTTCATCAGCATCGTCATTGATATCGTTATCGTCATCGTCATTATCGTCATCATCATCATCAGCAGCAGCAGCAGCAGTATCATTATCGTCATCGTCATCGTCATCGTCATAATCATCATCATCATCACCATCACCATCACCATCATCATCATCATCATCATCATCATCATCATCATCATCATCATTATCATCATCATCATCATCATCATCATCATCATCATCGTCAGCGTCATCATCATCACCAGCATCATCATCATGTTCACAATCATCATTTTCATCATCACCATCATCATTCACATTATCAGCATCATCACTATCATCAGCATCATCATCATCAGCATCATCATCATCGTCATCATCATCATCATCATCATCATCATCATTCCCATCATCATTAACAATACGGTACACCTCTCACGAGGATCGTGGCCCAGTAGAAAGCTCCACAGAAGGCTTCAGTGGCAGGGGTTGCATGGCGGCACCGCGCACATTTTGGTAGACCCCTCAAGTGGATCGTGGCCCCGTAGGGAGCTCCACGGCACACCAGAGGAGGAGGAGGAGGAGGAGGAGGAGGAGGAGGAGGAGGAGGAGGAGGAGGAGGAGGAGGAGATGAGGAGGGAGAGGGCGGGAGAGGGAACCTGAAAAGGCTCCCTGTCCCGCTTGGCATTGCCGGAGAGACACCCTGAAAAGGCTCCCGGTCCGGTGGCGGGAGGGGAAATATGGAAAGGGTCTCTGTCTTCTCTATAGATCCCTCTATGCTTTTCTTTTTTTCGAGTTCGTCGTTTTTGTTCCAGTTTCCGGATTCTCGCTGTTCTGGGTGTGGGGGGCCCTCCTTCGGGCCCTGGGGACCTTCAGGATCAGTTCTGGGGCGAAAAACTGCAGGCTGGGAAGCCGATGGTGGAGTCCGGGGCGCTGATGGCGTAGGCCCGGACGGCGATGACCCCATTGGCGGATTGGCTTCATCACCTGGCGCGCTTCGCATGCTCTGCGCGCGAAGGGTGTTGTTCCGAAGGCCCTCCGAAGGGCCCGTGTTCTTGATCCACGTCCTTGTGGCAGTTTCGACCCTCTTGGTGCGATCTGGGGGACCTCTTGGGCCGTCTGGAGGCGTCGGGAACCGAAGAGGGGGAACCGCCCAAATCTGGCCAAAACCGATGCAAAATCAGCAATTTGTGTACCTCTTGGAGCACTCTTGGGAGTGCTTTTGGAGCCTCTTGGGGCGTCCGGGGGCCCTCCTGAGAGCTCCTTGTGGCCGAGGGCTCGACATGTGGTTTCGCGTTCTCCCTCTGGGGCCTCTCTTGGATCGTTCTTAGGGCCTTTTGGGGCCGACTTGGAGTCGTCTTGGACGGTCCCGGAGCCCTCTTGAGCCGTCTTGGAGCTCTCTTGAAGCCTTGTTGGACCCTCTTGGTGCGATCTGGGGGATCTCTTGGGCCGTCTGGAGGTGTCTGGAACCGAAAAGGGGGAACCGCCCAAATCTGGCCAAAACCAGAGGAAAACCAATGAATTGTAACTATTGGGGCACTCTTAGATGGAGCCTCTTGGGGCGTCTGGGGGCAGTCTTGGGCATCTTGGAGCGATCTTGCGGCATGTCGGAGCTCTCTTGTTCTATCTAGGAAGCCTCTTGGGGGCCTTCTGGGGCCGTTCTGGGGGCTCTCTGGAGGACCTCGAGAGCGGCGCCCAGGAGAAAGAGGATCTCTGGCCCGAACCGGCCGGGGATCGCTGGGGTACTTTCGTCCGGGGAGCCCCAGGAGCCGCTCCGCGCGCGCGAAGTATGAATATTGTAAGCAGACATCGAAGATCTTAGCACGCCTCTGGCCCGTTGGGCCGGCGAATTGATCAGGGCAATTATGCGACTTCTATGAAGTTGCTCTGCGCTGTGCTTGGGTTTTCATATTGCGGGGCCGCCCAGAAAGTCCACAGATACCCGAGTGAGTATCTACCCGAGGACAGATACAATAAACTCAGGCATCGCAATCGATTTGAATTGGCGATGTATGAATACGGGTAGGAGCTTTCCAGGGACATGTTCCGTTCGAGCCAACTTGCTGGGTGCTGGGCGTTGGCCTGCAAATGCAACTCTCAAGTCCCTACAACGGGCTGGGAGCCAGCTTGCTGGGCGAATGCTGGCAGACGCTAGCGAGGGGAACTTGTTGCGACATGCTCTGAACTCTTGCCCGAAAAAGGGCAAGCACCACCCGCGCCGCGCTTGAGTCTGCCCGAGGAAGTGGCCAGCCCACGCCTGACACCGATACAGCCCGCTCGACTTTTGAGAGCGCCGATGTGGGCGTGGAAGCATCGGCCGGCGCCGCTTGTGTAGAAATATCGTCTTCGAAACGCAGGCCGAGGCGGGCGTCGGGCCGCCAGAATTCCACACAAAAAAGTAGAACGCGGTGCGGCGCGCATGCGTTGATCGAATTTTCTCAAAGAGCTCATGGCATAGTTAAGGGATCATGCGGGGCACATGCGCGTGCCGCTGTGCGCGAATGTCAATGTTCTTACAGAAGTAGCCAGTCAGCAATTAGCAAGTTACGCTACCGATATGTCTTGTGTGAGGATAACTGATGTGAAACATGCGAAAATCATGCTCGTGGTCGTTGCCCCGCCGATACCGTTGGTGACGCCTGTCAAGCTTTGGGGGCCTGCCGCGCCTGCAGTGTCTTGCGAGCCTGGAGCGTATAGAGACCGCTCAACGGCCACCCCTTGCGCACCCCTCTGAAGTCGAGAAACTGCAACACCTGCCGTGCCCTGCGAGCCTGGAGCGTACACAGACCACGTTCAGGGACCACCCCCTTGCGCACCCCCCCTGGTGTCGAGAAAGGGTCACTTCTACCGTGCCCTGCGAGCGTGGAGCGTATAGGGACCACGCTCTGGGACCACACCCTGCGCACCCCCTCCTAGAATCGAGAAAGTGACACGCCTGCCGTGCCCTGCGAGGCTGGATCGTATAGAGACCACGCTCAGGGACCAGCCCCTGCGGACCCCTTCTGGAATCGAGAACGCGCCACGCCTGCCATGCCCTGCGAGCCTGGAGCGTATAGACCGCGCGCAGGGACCACCACCTGCGCACACCT